CCATTCCTACATCACCTCCAGCTCATTTTGCACCCCCACACACAATATACATGTGTGCACTGTTTAGTCTGTGTCTGTTCTTCATGAGCTTTCATAACTCCCATCTGCACTGCAGCATGCTTTCTGATCCCAACCCTGTGTCGTGCTAAGTGTTTTCAGTTCCTGAAGACTGCACCAGGAGGTACTCAGCATCTTGCAAGAGCAGATGCTCTTGATGCAAGATGATCCTTGAATGCAGCAAGAGCATCAGAAAGTCTCTCAGTTCCTTCCTGTCTCTATCCTGCTAAATCTTGGCTTGGGTGAAACCTCCTCACGAGCAGCCACCCATTCACATGTGGAGGTTTCATGAACTGTACCTGCCTTCAGAGGATGACACGAGAGAAAAATGTGCTCTTTGGCCCTCATTAAAATAAAACAATCTTACTCTGTTTCACTGAGAAGTCCTAGGACTCCAAGCTTGGAACAGGACTTGGAAAGTGATCGGAAACGGGAGCCAGTCCTTACTGGATATGTGCCTTTTTCCTCTTCTTGTGAGAAACCACACAGTTTTGGCTACGCGATAAGCCTTTGGAAAAAAATATCAGCTTGCACGTGTTCTCAGGAGGGCAGCTGGAAGCTCCAGAGACTGTCTGCAGTGAGCACACTCGAGCATGGAAGTGCAGGAGGAAGGCAGGGCTTCCTCCTTGCAGCACTCTGCACAGAACCACTTCCCTCCTGTGCCCAGTACGAGCCTGCCTGGCCACGACCGCAGTACGGAAAGGGATGCAGTCCAGCTGAGGAGTGCCAGATGGACAATGGATTGTTAGGCAAGGGGACTGGAAATAGCACCTATGGTCATACCAGAGGTGAAGTAGTCAGGTGGGTGTCTGGGGATAACCAAGTAAAAGAGAAAAACAGAAGTCTCCATCGGAGGAAGATGAGGGGAAAAACCAAAGAGAAAGCTAGGAATGGGATGAGCCTGATCCTGGGACAAATCTGTAGTGGAGAGCTGTGAAGCAGGAGTCAGGATCAGGTAGGACATCGGTGATGTGGTTGGGGCCCTGTGGCTGATGCTGGGGGCAGGAGCAGTAAATCCTACAGTAACAACTGCCTTCACCTGCCAGCACCAGGAGTGGATCTCAGGGCTGCTGGTGCCCATGGACATCTGTGAAACCTCCTGGCAAAGAGTTTCTCTTGTTCCATTGCAGATCCATCTCCTCTTAAAGAAGAAGACCCACTACTATCAGCTCCCATCAGCTGAAGCAGCAGAAATGTGCACAATGGACTACAAGTTTCTGACACTACTAATGGTCCATGCAAGGGATAAAGTTTTATATCAATTTTGCTAGTTCTATCCTTTGTATGTGTGTTTACTGTCTCTGCTTCAAGAAAGGTTAGGCCACTTTACCATACATGCTTCTTCCTGGCTAACCTGTACCAGATGTACAACGTGCTCCCTGCTGAATCCGGCCTTACTGACTCTAGGGCTCATCTGACTCCATGCCTGGCCCATCACCAGCACTCACTCCCTCTCCCTAGTCCTACTTCAGTGAGGGCATGCTGCTCTTGAGCTCCTCTTTAAAAATAGGTTTATCAAAAAGGCTGCAGCATAATCCTAATAACTGCCTCCTAAACAGTGATTGAATGCTCTGAGCAATTACGGTCCTTCGGAATGCTGCCTGCCTTTTCCCATCCCTTCAACAATTACTGCCTTCTTCTAAGGTGCCAACATGTTTTTCAAAGTGCTACCTGGTGAGGTAGCTTTCACAAAGCCCAGCTGTTAATTCTCTGTTAGAAAATTCCTAAAATTAAAGTATCAAAGAGGAAGGAAAGTGGACGCTTCCTAGGCATGGAAATAAAAGCAGTAGGAAGAGAATAGTGTGGCTCTCAGGAGGGGTGGCTTGCAAATTCAGAAGTTAGATAAAATGCTATACCTTGACTTTGACAGAGGCACTCTGTAAAGATACCATCTCTGGCCAGTGCTGTGACAGGGCTGAAGTCAACGCAGCACTGGGACATCACTGCTGACAGTTACCTGCTCCCTCCCATGTCTTCAACTTTATTTTTAGTTTGAAAGTACTAGGCTGCATCTCATCTGCCCCAGTAACCAGTGTTGGAGTGTTCCCTCTATTTAGGTGTCCACAGATTTGCCAAGCCCATTATTAAGTGATGAGGTCTCCCACCATGTCCCCAGGGAGATTATCCCACAGCCTACCAGACCACATCATTAGGAAAACGCTCTAGATGGCCAACCTAAATTGTGTTTAATTCAATCCCATTACTCCCAGCTGTACTATTTGGACCACCCTAAATATGCCCATATTACTCTGTAGAAGGAGAAGGATGAGAGCTGGTTTGAGTTACTTTTACCTATCATTTGTGGTAGCTGTTCTCCTGCCATCCTCCTTGCATGGGACTGGAATTCATTTTGTGAAAGGTCAGTGCACCACTGGCTCAAAGAGCTCTTGTACCCCGAGCTGCCTGGGCAGTGTGGCCAGGACTCATATGGTAGAGCAGGGAGCACACAGCCAGTTCTGCAGCAAAGCCAACTGTGGGATCTGCCTGGGGCTGTATAGGATGATTCAGGGATATTTCTACCTTTGATGAATCCTGGCTGATGCTTTGGAATAAGGGACTGCTGCATTTTAATTTTTTTAATGTTTCTGGGAAGGTGTGTGCAGTTTTGCTGCACAGACTGGGGTCAGCAGCCAGCTGCTACTGCTTACATCTGCTGAAGGGTGATCAGCTTGCAAGAAAAGGTGGCTCCTACCCAAGAGAACTAGGTTTTTTCCTAGTCTGGCCCTGGAGGCTCGAGTTTGAAGAAGGAAAAGTTACCAAACAGAACAACACAGCCAAAGTTTTGATGAAAGGGGCAATATGGAAATGGACTTAGAGGGCCACACCAAAAGCTTGGCACAAGATACAGGAAGTCTTGGGCAGGGGAAAGGAAGTCATGGCATGCTTTCACAGCAAAAAAGAGAAGACCCAGTTTACTACGGGACCAGCTGAGGTCAGAAGAGACATGCTGGGCTGGAAAGACTCCACAGTTCAGGAAATAAGTCATGAACTTCGCAGACAGATCCCAGACCACCGAGGCAAACCTGACCCCCAGCCCAAAGAAATTCTGGAATGGTTAGGAAACTGAGGCAGGGAAATGAACTGAGGCTTTATTATTTTCTCTTGCTCAGCATAATGGTGTATTTATAATCGACTGAGTATGTCTTTGCTAACGTCAATCATAAGTATCTGAACAGTTTAACTAGAGGGCCCCCAGACTCACTAAGAAGTGGGTTTAAGCTTTGGGGAGGTGAGCAATAGACTCTATAAGAACAGGCAAATGAACCATGGGTTACAGCTCCGTTACTCTCCCTGCAAATACATCCACAGACCCCGAAAAATATCCAGACAAGGATGACAAGGACAAATAAGAAGAAAGAACAGTTTCCATACTACAGTCAACCAGACTAGGATCTGCACCCTGGAAGAGACTTCTGAAGCAGATGTGAGCAAGGTCAAAGGGTGATATTTCTGTTTGGTATGATACACTAAAGAAATCAAACATATTCCTATTTCCTAAAATATTAGCTAAGTCTGCACCCTGTGTCCTCACAGTTCACACTGCAGGTTAACAACCAAATGTGACCCGATGCACCTCTCCTGACAATTCATGCAGATGTGCAGATGTGGCACTTAGGGACATGGTTTAGGGGTGGACTTGGCAGTGCTAGGTTTGTGGGTGGACTTGATGATCTTAAAGGACTCTTCCAACCTAAATGATTCTATAGTTCTATGCTCAGGGGAGGACACAAATGAATAGACAAACAGACAAACAGAACATCATGAATAGTGCAAATCTTCAGTGACAGGGGGGCAATGAATCCCACAAAGGACACTGATTCATAATGATGTGATGGGTACAGCTTATGAGTAGACACAGAGCCACACAGGGACCGAGACCACAGCGCACAGAACACTCTCAGTGTGCTACCTCCAGTATCTGAGACTTGCAACTGCAAGATCAATACTTTGTTTTCATGAGTCTTTTTTACTTCTAGTTTCAATTTAAAGGAAAGTTTGTCATATGCAAAGCTGACAATAGGTTACGCTATACTACGTTAAGTGCAAACCCTGCTCTGTATCACCAACTGGGAATCCACCCACGAAGACAAAGCAGGCAAATAAATCTTGATCTGACTAAATAACTTCACATGGAGCCTGCAGAGGAACTCACTTTTGTCCTCAGTCCACACACGAGAGCAGGGATCTGCCAAACCCTAACCATAAATATTCATTAAAAAGCCTCTGCTTGGGATGCAGTCACTGAGACAGCCATTTCCTGCCCATTATCTCTTAGGGCAGGAAATCAACAGTTCCACTCAGGCGGTTACCACTGAGCCCTCACCACGAACACTTCCACTGGATGGCTGAACCGTGCCTAAATGAGGGCCACGTAGTTGTATCCTTTCTGAAGCCCCAAAATAGCACTTCATGGCAGTAAACATCTGAATGTGGCTGCCCTTGTATTTAGTATGGAGAACAGCAGCTCCTAGTTTGATGCTCCACCTCGAGAGCTTTTGCTTGGAGCGAGGTGAATGGGAACACGGTGGCACCGTGGGTTGACAGCACGCACAGAGAAGGGTGTCTGTGTGATCAGTAATTTGACTGCTTCGCCCCTGACACTGACAAAGATTGCTAGTCAAAATAATGGCTCCTTCTGCTGAGGACAACCTCAAGCTGATCCAATTGTGGTCTCTGGGAAAAGACTGTCTCAGCACCCAATCTTGTTCTTTATAACAAGAACAACAGAGTTTTGCTGCCAACTTCAGAGGATCGAGTCTCCGAACTATTCTCACGCCAAGAAGCTGTACTTTCCATGAAAAACAAATCCTGATATTATAGGACACCCCGCTGCAGAACTGTCACTGTTTATTGGCACTTCATGAAGAAGCAGGAGTAAAATCTCAAGGAAAAACTTCTGAAAATGATTACAAATGCACAGCAAATACAACTTCTGCACTTACCTTTGGCTTCCAGCCTCTGATCACTTCCAATCAAGCAGTCCTTGATGTCAGCACCCTTCTCTATAACGGCATTGTGACAAATAACACTGCCCTGAAGACAGCACCTACAACATAAACACAAGAAAATAACTTAAATGACAAGTGCAAAATGAAGGTATCCACTGAAATATCTAATGACTCTGTGGCATGATCCTGTGAGAAGTTCAGTTCTGCTCTTTTCTCAAAAAACTCCATTCTTCTCCTGATCCTCACACCCAGCTGCTGGAAAAACTTAAATGCCAGGTGTCAGAATGGGTTTGCAAAAAAGAGTTTGCCGTTTTACCTCCTGTTAGAACAGCTTTCCTCTACATTTCCTCAACTGAATAAATACTTAACTGAATAAATAAAGACTTGGGACCTGGATCAAGTCTTGTATTTTCCACAGACAGTCTGGGTAACTGCGGGGGTGGCTTCTCTGCTCAGTTTCCCAGTTAAAAAGAGGAGCAGCAGCCCAGTCCTTCCCTGCAAATTTTGCTGAGAAGTTTTATATGTTCCAGCTTGCCAGGTACTAAGAAAGGGTGAAGAGAAGTGGCAGATCAATACTTCAGCTGGTTGGCTTTGTTCACATTCCAGTCAAGTACTCAAACATGATTACTCTGCAGTACTAAACCAATGAAATCCACACTAGACCTGCTCTACCTGCCCTGGATATCTTCACACTCATGTTGCTTTTGACACCACAAAGTCTGAAATGCTACACAGGATGGAACTGTAGCAAAAGTCACCTTATTCCAAAATGTATTTTAATCTGTAATAACCAGCCTTCAAATCTGCCCATCTGATTGTCCAGACAGGAAAGGAGTTCTGAGTCCCAAGTGCTGGCTTTGTAACTGCTCTGCTGAGCAGGAAGAAGGTATAAGCAAGATCTATAATCCCAGAGAGATGCAGGTAATCTGCTCTCCCACATTAGTGCTACTGTGAACCATAGCATTTCATATCTGCTCCCCAGTATTTCTGCTAATATTAATTACAATAATTGTGAATATCTTTCCTATCCTCAGTCCAACAGCTGATCTCTGTCAAAACCTGAAGTTTTTAGGTTCAGTGACTTTCTGCATGGTGGGTTGCAGTTTAATGACCTGCAGCCATTCCCCACCTTGGTCACAGGCAGCACCACTGTTCACTGCACTAGTGAAACACGGCTGCAGCACACCACCAGGCTGGCTCATGGACAGAACTGTTACCCTGGAGTCATCTAACACCACAGAGGGTCTTGCTATCAGGTCAGAGCCCTGAGCCTCAATTCTGTACTGAATGGAGAGCTAGCCAGGTGTGGTCCTCGGGAGAAAGGAGAAACATCAATCCTCACTCCAGACTGCTGATCCCCAAATTAATTCAGAGTATCTTCCTGCTTACACATCACTATTATTTGGTACACAGAATTTGTCGTTAAACACATTACAACTGTGAGTCTGACCAGAAACCATCTGCCCCACAAAACCAGCATGAATTCTGTAGGAGTAAAAGCAATAAAAGCGGACCTCAGTCGCAGTGGTTTGCAGTTACGACCCCCCTTGAACAGACTGTCCCCTCTGAACAATTATTCTTTTAACTCACTTAAACTCCCCCTTCTCTGACCTATAAGGAGGCAACACGAGCAATTATTCTACAAGCAACCAGCTCAGGTTGCCTTGGCAAGGTTTTTACTAACATGTTAATAAGATAAAAAGCGGCAAAGATACACAGCAGACCCCTGCCTGCCTTTGCTCTCACACTGTCACGATCTGCTTCCTTTCCAATAGCCTCGTGTGCCGGCACAGCCGCTCGGGCCATCGTCTTGTGCAACAGCGGTTACCGAGACAAGAGCAACTCGGCATTTGCAGCCAGGCCAGGGAAGGGATCAGTGGAGGGAGGACTGCCCAGCGCTGCCATCCTGACTTGGCTTTCAACAGGGACTAGCGAAGGGAATGGGAGAAGTTGCTCATTTCCCACTGAAATGGCTCCCATCCAAAACGCGCGCTGCGGAATACCTCCTCCTCCTCCATTGCTTCGAGCCAGTCAGATGAAAGCTTTCCCCTGCAAACTTTTAGGTTCTCACCATCTATCACTTCTCCTGAGCATGAGAGCAGCTGTGAGCGCGCTACACCTTTCAGCATTACCCTCATGCAGGAGGATATTCCCCAAAAGAGAGGGGATTTAAGCTGTCGGTGTGGAGTCCAGGCTGGAGAATGCTGCATGTGTGTTCAGAGCCTACTTGAGGATAGTCTTTCAACTCCCGGAGAAAGAATAGCATTGTAACCAAGAAACTGCTGATGACATTAACATCAAAGATAAGGGGGAGTTCCTGCCAAACCATTTGCTGGGAGGGACAGGCCAGGGAACCAAGACGAACTTGCCTGTGCCAGGTGTTCGCAAATCAACCCTTCCCCAGTGCCAGGGTAAAAACAAAACCCAAGAACTCCACCACCCCAGGAGTTTCTTAAAACTTATAAACCCAACCAACTGCAGAAGTTTTAAAACCATACTCAATGCTCAGATTACCCCAATCACACAAACCAGCAGCAAATCCGGCTTTTATTGCTCAAGTGGAACAAAACTTCAAGAGATAAAAACACAATTTGTGGGTGTTCCCTTCACCCGCTGACAGATGTAACACAGCCATTTTGAAACCACTTGTAAATGCCTTTTTTCCTCTCTAAAAAAAAAAAAAAAGTTATAAAGCCTGCCAAGAGAAGTATTCTGTGTATTTATTTAATTTTTACTATTTTTTCAAGTTGAAGAGTAAGGAATAAACTTTTATTCTCTAACAGGGTAAATATATCACATCTCAGGGCACTCTGCTGTAGTCTCCTTGGCTAAACTGCCACCACGGGCTCCTGCCTTGCTTAACAATTAGGTGCTATTAGCCCTCAAAGGTGCTCTGACAGCATCCAGCTTCCTCAGCTCTGCTGTGTGTGCGCATACACATTGATGTACTGCTTTATAATGCAAACCATATTTATTTTTTCCCCCTGAAAATGTAGTATATTTTTAAACTTTTCAGCACGGTGAAAACGGATATCTTCTGACCTTAAAATCCAAAGAGCATGTTCAAACCCACAAGAGGAACTAATTTGGGGCATTTGATTTATGGCTGAAATTTCAATTTGAATTTGTTTTAAGTGTAATCACAAACTGAAAGCCTGGCAGCTGGGTGTTTTTCAGAAAATAAATAAAAATATTCAGTGCGCGTCTGCATTCTAGAGAGAGCGTTTTACAAGCCCAGTCCTGCAGTGGGAACAGATGTAGCTCAAGCATTAATTTGTTATACAGGTACAACGTGCAAATGGGAGCGTGTGAGAGAGAGTGTGAGGGTATGTCTGTGTCTGCATGAACGCTGAGCGCCTGTATCTGAGAGACAGAGAGCCTGACTTTGGGGTGGGTTTTTTTTGAAAGTGAGAGAACAAGAGCAAAAGGAGTAGTGGCCAAGGAGGCATGGGGGGATTACAAGGATTTAGGTCTTTAAACTGCAGACCACCTAACAAGATCACTCTGAAATGCCACTAATTTCAGTTAAGGCCACAGACCTCCCTTCCTCTGCCCTCCCTCTCTCCCCCATTGTAAACAAGTAATCCCAGCAGAAAACAACAGAGAGCAAAATGTACACACATTCTGCAACATTCCAGGTCCTTCTTTATCTTTTATTTATTTTTCTAAAAGGTCAGCGTATGTATGGAGGGAGGGGGGAGGGGAATAAAGCCAAAAAAACCTCAAGTCCATCTCTTGTGTGGGCTTGAAGAAAGCTGGGAGAAAGCAAAGTCCAAGAGCACACAATATGGAGCTTTTATAGCACAGCAATTCCTCGACTCGGCTTACTTTCCCCTCCCTCTATTTGTGGCAAAGTCACATAGCTTTAAACCAAAGGACAGGGTGGTCGATTACATCTGAAAGAAATGTAAAGAATTGAGAAAGAATTCCATCTCCTGTCGAAATTATAAATAAGGAAGTATTAGTCCCAGAGACAGGCTGATTTATGCAGCCCTGGAACTGCTGACTTTCAGCCTGAGTATCGGTCTGTAAATCAAACCCTTAAATCAAGTGTGTCAATCGCTGCAGCGCTGCAATACTTGGGAAAAGAAAGGCACCTACCACTGAAAGCAGGAAGATTGCCAGGGGACCGAGGTGCCGTACCCTTCCTAATTTTATAAAGTGTAAATCTGAGATCAAACATCCTTTGGGGGAACGGGAAATCAAAATACGCAGCGCTCAGCACACCGGGAGCAGGCAGCAGGAGTCCAAGACACAACCCCCTAATTACAGGCTACCCACTGATTATTTAGGACTCTGTGATTAAAGTGATGAACGCTCCTGGGAGAATGGGGCTTAAGTAACTGAGGTCAAGACCCCAACTGCAGCTCTCGCCCTGGTTGTGCAAGCTTAGGAAGGTATGAATGTCACAGGTTTGCCTTACAGCAAATCTCCTGAAATGCCAGTGGAAGTTATCCAGGTCTGGTACTTTAATCCAATTGTGCCAAAACCCCGACATAATCTCTGTTGGGCAGCAAAGCAAATGAGGTGTCTAAAATGCAACGCTTAAAACTATAGACTCACGAGAAAGAAAGAGCCTGGAGCACAAAGCTCAGGACAGCCTGTTGGTACTGCTCTGCCATGCCAAGAAGTCGGGTCTCTTGCTCCTCCAGATGAGCGAGGGAAAGGAGAGACTGACGCAGGAGTTAAAAGCAAAGGGTGACGTGCCTCGGCAGCTACTTTGCTGACTGAGGGGTAACAGATGCGGATTACCCTGGGAGCAACATCCCATTCTGCCCTCACCAAGAAGATAACAGCCACAACAGGCACCTTATTAACACTGAGAGGTGGCAAGGAGACAGGTAGAGCTCTAAAACCTACCAGCAACCCCTCGAGGAATCCTCCGTTAGCTAGTGAGTCTGCAGCTGGGACTCACGATCACAGGGGCGAGGCACAAAGACCACAGGAAAACAGGGAAGAAGCAAAAACAATACCAGGGAACTTGGGAACCCAAAATGTTCCTTTTACCGATATGCTTTACACACCAATACATTTTTACACCAACACGCTTTTACACACAAATGAGAACTCAGGGCACTGTGAATCTCACGTTAAACAC